GATTAACTACACTCTTAGTTATATTTTTAGAAAAATTAAGAATAGAAGAAATCTAATCTACTTGAGGATTATATTTTTTAAACTACAAAAAATCTAAAATAATTGGATTAGACGGAGATCTAATGACCATTAGTTATAACTTCTATGAGAAGGATTTTGTGAGTAACATCTCCAAAAGACAATGGGCGACCATCTATAACTTCTATGTGAATGGGTTTAGTTTTCCTTACTAAAGATATGTTAAGTCTTTTAGCTAATTCTTCATCTAAGAAACATACTAAGGCTCCTAAATCTAATAAGACAAAGGCTTTGTAATGTATAGGTCCTAAAATAATGTTTAATATAAAATAAAGAGAGGGTTCTGAGGAGAGAATAGAACCTTCATTAAGTATTGCATAAGGTTCTAGCCACATCATCCCTATTGTAATTAGACAAACTTATTTTTTGATATATTATCTTTTTTGACATTTATATTCCTCATTTTATAATTGTGTCACTTCTTTAGACAATATTGAATAGTGTGCTTAGGTTCTCCACAATATAAGCATAATCTTTTTTGATGACGATGAGTCTTTTCTTACTCAGTAAAAAGTTGAAAACGTATTGCATCAATTTACATATCCTCTACTTCTGAATGTATGTGTTGAAGAGGCATTAGTATTGCCATTGAATTATAGTAACATTGAGGTCCACTTATCCGACTCTTAGATTAAAATTTGAAAAGTCAATTATCATACTTTACAACAAAATCAATTACTTGACTCAATGTTTGAGGATCATATAAGTTGAGCATCAATTCTTTTACCTCATAATATAATCTATAGAAAAATTGGCTAATCAGAGCAACATCATTCCACTTGATATTAGTTACAAGTGGTCAAAATTATAAAGCATATAATATTACGGATCAATTGCCTTGATGTAAAATATGGATCTTATTGGTTGCAACATGAGTTACATCATGTTCTCCATACATGGATTAAACCTCTGTTAAAAAAACCTCCAAATTATCTGATATTGGATCTCGTCATTCAAGAAAAGATGAAAACCATGATAATGTTGAATCTAAAAGAATTGTATCAATAAATCTAGCTTGTGATCCTAGAATTGAATAGCTTTGGAATTGAAGTTCAATCACAAGTTATACTTGATTGATAAATCCTCAAAACTTTGATCTTGTTTCATTAAACTTTTCAATCAAGGCAATTCTTAGTTTTTTAGTACTGAAAGGATATTCCACTATAGGAGAAGGGACACGATTGAGTGCAAATGTTGAAGCAGTTCCAATCATATCTATATCTTCACTTTCTTCCATTTTTGTTGCTTATTGTGGTGGTAAACTGAGTTATTGCATCGCAAGCATTAATTTTTCAATTGCTCTTGCATTTATGCCATTGCACTCTTCATTTTAAGAAGTTGTGCCATGATAATATTTAGAAAATAAATATCTAATATTGCTCAAGACAAGTAGAATAGGAGACTTGAGAACAAAGAAGTAACTAAGAACAATATTAGTTTAAAAGAGAATAATCTATAACTTCTAATATACTTATGTTTTATTAAGAAAAAGAGATAAGCTTTTCTTAATCAAGACAAGACAAAGCTCTAATATTGTAAGTATATTCTTATCAATCTATCAAGGACATGAACAAAAAGAAGATATATGAACTTGAAAAATTTGTATCAAATGAAAAGTGACAAAATAGAAATAAAATAATATATATATTAAAAAGAAATTGAAATGGCTATTGCCAAATGACAAGGAATATAGAGAGTCTGAAGTCTAGACAAAAACAAGAAATAAGTTGACAAGAATGAAAAGGACTTCACTCTTGCCTCTATATATACTATCTAACTAAGAGCTATGTGGCAATGTTCTAAAGGACCTCTTATATGTGTTGACTTTGCAAGACACATGCTTTAGCTTACAAGGCAATTTTTCTATGTAAAGGCCACATAGTTAGCTTGTTCTTCAAGCTACCAACATGTGTCGCACATGGCCAACTTGTTGACCACGTTTTTGATCTAAAAAGTCAATTAAAGACATCTATAAATTCAAAGCACTATCTATGAAGCTTCTATAAAAGATATTATGGAATTTACTTACTTTTATCTACTATTATCTAAACCATATAAGTAATTATTGATTTACATGTGTACCTTTGTGATAATTTAATAAATTAAAGATGATGTTTTATATTGTTTTTTTTTAAATAAAATCTATTTACTATATAGAATTATAAATAAAGAAAATTACAATAGAATAGATATAAAACCTTTATAAATACCAAATAAAATCAAAGAGGATAATTAATAAAAGAAAATTGAAATCAAATCTCAAGACAAAAATACATGCATTTCCACCAAATGTAAAGTTTTTTTTGTTTATCAATAAGTAGTACTAAAAAAAAGACTTAAAAATAATTATGTATGTATTAGATTTGAATTTGATTTTTTATATGTTTGTGAATGTATTTGTATTTAGTATATTTCTTATATTTTTACTTGGTATGTTAATTAGATTGAAGATTATCAAAATTTAAGTATGTTAGGATATTAATAGTTAGTGGTTTGAAGGTCAATAAGAGTATCAATATTTCATAAAAATTTATCAACTAAATTAAGCTTGAAATTTGTAGCATAGTAGCTCACTTGAGTTTTAAGATTAACACTAAGTTTAAGTACAAACAAAAAGTAAAAAAAAATATTGTAGCTAGGATTTGGCATCAAAGTTGAAGAATTAGATTGCAAATTATCTACGTGGTTTTTTGGTCTTTTCTCTTATTTTATTAGTTTAATCTTTAATCTTATAATTTAACTTATTTTTAATTAAAAAGTTAAAAATATTTTTAAAATTTTTTAAAAATGAATAATAAATTAAAATTTTATAGGATTTTAAAGTTGATATTTGATATAAAAATAAATAAATAAATAAATAAATTAGATATTATTATATATAAAGCTTTATTTAAAAAAAAATTATAGTATTATAAGATTTATTTAGAATTTTTTAAATTCTTATATAATATTTTCTTAAGATTTGTTCAAAGTTTGCTTAGAATTTGATAGGGTTCTTAAAATTTCTATAGAAGTTGTTAGAATGTACCTTGGATTCTTTGAGATTTTTTTAGAATTTTTTTGGAATTTTATTAAAATTAGATTAGGATTTATTTTTTAATTATTTGTGATAGCTTAGATTTGTAATTCAAAGTTTGATAGAATGTCTATTAAAATTTTACTTAAGTTATTTTCATATATTTTGAATCTTCATCAACTTATTTCCTAAAGTGTGGTGTTATAATTCAACCATAAGATTAAATATCTCTAATTCTTAGCTTGATAGAACCACACTTGAATAGATGTTTAATTAAATTTTAATAAAAAATACTCTATTATGTATTGAATTTTCAATTTGTTTGATTATTTATGTCTTTTAATATTTTTAATCTCAAATTCTTACTAAAATAAATCTAATCAATATCTACTTTTTATAAACAATAGTGCAATAATATTTTTTCTTAAATTTACTATATTTCTTTTTCATATAGTAAATAAATTGTGATAAAAAAATATAATATGTATACATGTTTTAATTTTTTAATATAAAAAATTAGTTATAATCTTTATTAATATTATATATAAGTTTGCTACGAACTAAACTAACTCTAATATGTAAAAATAATTTATTTTTAAAGATCTATATTCTTTTATTGCAATATGGACTAACTTTGGTCTATGCAAATGATATATATGTAAATATGCTTGTTTTTATTATGGCTAATAATATATTTTTTTGCACATCTTATGTAAAATGTGATGCAGAATTCTAGTTAAGAATTAAAGTATCATAATTCTCTTGTTCAACTTCTTGAATTATTTGTGATATTTTTCTAAGGGCCAAATTATGTAGTTTATGTTGACATGCTTTCACATATTTTTACAAGAAGGTTCTTGCAAATAAATTAATTTTATATAAATATTTATAAATTGTTCATGGCATTAGTTATCATGGTCTCTATTGATTCCAAATTCTTTCATGTATACCAATGGCCATTTTACAAGCTAATATTTTTTTAATAAGTTTGTACTTTTATAATAAATATAATATTACTTTGATAAAAGCATTATAATTTTCTAAAATCAATGATCATATTATATATCTTCTTCACATGCTGTAAGATGAATTATATTTGCATACAAAATTAGCATTCAAATGTTTTTTAATTATAGATTAATAATTTTGCAAGATAACTCGAATGAAAGACATAGTTTTATATTACAATGCACAAAATTATTTTTAGACCACTTCCTCCAAAACAAGGCTAAAGTAATCACAATATCCTTTTATCACCCATTTTTTAAAATACCTCACAAATAACAGACTCCTCAAACTTATTGTTATAGTTGTTTATTTGCATCTACAAAAAAAATCATTGAATTTTTTCCATTTCTATTCTTTCTACAAGACCTATGCTTCTGTTTAGTAGGACATCTAAAGCTTGGGAGCAAAGAACCGATGTGTGGAATCTACAGCTAAAATCGAGCCCTAAAATATGTTTGTAACTCCAGCCCCATTTAATAGCATGAATTGACGTTGCTGGTCGGAGCTTCTGTAATGACGCAAGAAAAATTTGATGCGTATACAATTGTTGACAAATCCATCAAAATAGCTTTAGAGTAGGCTGCAAAGCATCAGAGAAACCAAAAGAAAGAACTCTGTTTCAAACATTTACTAAAACCTACACATCCAACGTAATTGTCAACTAGACAAAGTCGTCGACGAAAAAATACAATCCACTTAAAACGCCTACGAAAATCCAGATAACTTTATAAAAGAAATTATAGAGACACATCTTGCAGTTCAAATCTAAGGAAAGAAACATCTAATCAGAATCACATCAAAACGTTCAGACAGCATGTGAAACTAGACAACGTTGCAACCTAAACCGACAAAAGCATAAAAACATAAACAAAAATAATACAACAATAACAATGACACATATCATGAATGTTTCTGCAGCATACGCAGAACGGTGATTTATACGTGACCATTTCCATTCTCGCATTACATCAGCACACACATTTTGTGCACCAAAGAGTAAAATACATGGCTAGCTGACCTGATGTACACGTTCATCTGTTTTACACTTCTCAACTCTGGCAGCTACTAGTTCCGCTCTACCGGCCCCATCCTAACCCGACTGCACCGCATCAAGCTGTGAAAGAATTCCCTGCTCTCTTGACTCGTCGCAGGGTCCTCACCCTCACATCCACGCCCCATCCCTTCCCAGTTGCACAACTTCGCGCCAACTCCTGCTTCCAACCCGACTGTGGCCACTCCCTTACCTTTCATCACTCTCTAGCGCGCAATCTACAATGTCGGCTTGAATGCCAGCTTCTCCATGTGATCCTTCCTCGGTAGCTTCACTTTCGTGGCCAGACCCACGGCTTCTAACCCCCGGATCACCCACCATGTCGGGTCCAACTGCCACCATTCCAGGCCATGCCGAGCTGAGTATTCGAATGCGTGGTGGTTGTTGTGCCACCCTTCCCCAAATGCCAGCAATGCCACCCACCTGCAACCACCAACGTCCTCAACCTCGTCAGTCACCACCACCAATCCACACTGCTCCCGCTTACAATTTGAGATCCTCAACACAACTGCGGCTATACATCAAAAACATCATTACCACTGTTCTCGCACCACCATCCATCCACACACATCTCTCACCCCGACTCTCCACACTTCCCCCTACACAGCTTTCCCATACTCACCAGTTGTTCCGAGACAAGTCTCCCGTGTTCCACTTCTGCGATCCCCACACATGCGATGCAGAGTTCACAAACCATGTGATGTGATACACCCACACCGTCCTCACAGCCTGCACCCCACACACCACCACCACCCACGTCATCTTCCACCTCCAACCCTCATTCCATTTCCATCGTTTCCTCGACCCTCTCCACAAATCTCACTCCATCCCCACATCCCATATTCCCCACTCCCTCCCTCAACCCTCTCCCACGCTTCCCACACACCCTCCGTTGCACCTACTCACTCCACACCAAAACACCACTCCTCCTCATACACAGCCACCACTCTTACCATGCCCCACACGATGTAAGGAAATCCTCCCACGGCATACAACGCTGCTGCCAGTAGCATCGGGTGAATTGGATACGTCTTCTCTATGAAGTTGTAGAACGGGTCCTTCTCCATGTCCGACACGTTGTTCCTCGCGCCCACCTGCGCACAACGCACCTTCACCATTTCAATCCACATCCCCCTCCCCATCTCCTCCTCTCCCTCCGCCAACAAACCAATCCACGCTCCCCATTCCCACACACCTTCCCTCGCCTCCCACCTTCTCCTCCACATCCCAACTATTCAACTCACCCTTTCTTGTGTTTGGGCGTCGTCCAGCAGCCACCCCATGTGGCTGTGCCAGAACCCCTCATACGGCGTGTGCGGATCGTTCTCCGTGTCGCAATGCTGGTGGTGATACCGGTGAGCGCTCACCCACTCCGTTGGGTCACCCTGCTCGCCATCCACTCAATCATATCAGCATACCATTCACCCACACCGCGTCACCGACACTACTACCCTCCCTCCCCAACCTGCACATTCACCCTATCCTTATCCAATCCACCCCGCATCCACACTGTATACCACGCACACCACCCTGCATTCCCATCGCCCCACACACCCCACCCTGACATCCTCCAAACCCCACATCCACTCTGTATCCTCATTCGACTTCTACAACCCCAACCTCACTTCCCTCCGCACCAATCTATGTCCAATTCCTCACAACACTACCACATTACCTGCACGGCTTGCACTCCGCAATACGCGAACGTGTACTCCAACCACTTCGGCACCTTGAAGCTCTTGTGCGACAGGTTCCGGTGATACGACAGAGTGATCCCCAGCATCCCCGTGATCACATACAATCCCATGAACACGCCCACCGCCTCCCATGAGAACGTCGCTGGCGCGAACAAGCACAGCCCGTGCATGAAGATCATGAACCCCGCGTACGTCAGGTCCTTCGACGTCCATTGCCTGTTCTTGAAGTAGTTCCTGCGCCTCTTCACCACCACATCCGACAGCCAAATCTTCGTCGGAGGGCTCTCCACCAATTGCTCAGCTGCGGCTTCCTCCAATACGCAACTCACAGGCCCCGCCGCGCCAGCTCTGCCCACGTTCCCCGGCACCAGACCTTTCAGCGAGGCGCCAAACAACTCCTTCCTGGGAACATCAATCCTCTTCAGAGCAGACCCCGCATTCACGCTGCGGTAGCACCTGGAACAACATGCGCCCGGCCGCTCTACAGATGCGGAAACCTTCCGCACATTCCTCGTCAAAGACAAGCTCTGCAAACCGCACGGCGTCACACCCATGGACATCCTGCTCGCCGTCGCCATGGCAATGTTAGCCCTCACTGATCGTACCAATCGGCCTACGTCTTCCACAACCTAACTTCTTGAGAAACTCGATTCGGAGGGCACGCCAAGCTCGAATAATCCGTTTCTCGACCTTCCAAATCCAAGCGACTGTTCCCGCTCTTATTCACGGAATTGCTTCTTCTTCACGCGCACACAATTGACGAAGGCAATAATCCAACAATGCCTGCAGGCAATGAAACAAGACCGGGCGAGGGAGGAACAGTGGTGTGGATTGCAATGTGAAGAAGTAATGTGGCGAGAGCTGCGCTACGCACTAATGCAGCAGCTGCAGCACACATGGCGATACTGAGCATATGAAGGCCTGGCTCAGAGCGCAGCCCTCCTCTAAACTCAATTGCGGCTGTGTTCCTGATCTTGGGATTGGGCCGCAATCTGGTTTTTCTTGCTCTTGCTCCTGACGGGTCCGGACATCAGTTTTGAAAGCGGGTGTCATATCTTTAGGTGATGGTACGAAGACTGGGCCGTATGTTTCTGGGGCTGTCCGTATTGCAGCGAGATGGGGCGAAGAAAGTTTCGCGTCAAGCTACTAGTAAGTAAAAATATCTCCCAGGCCAACCGCTTGAAGTCGCGCGGTTGTTCCACTTCCACCTCGTCTATTGCTGCCAACTATTTGTTCCGGGTGTCACCAAGTGCCGGGTATGGAGTCCGACGTGAGTTGAGGTGGTACGTCCGTTTTCACACAGGGGCGGTTACAAGCCAGCAAAGGAGAAGCTAGATATGAAAAATTATCTAGGGTTGGTTTCGACGCATTTGACACGTGGCAAACATCGGAGGGGGTTTGTTGAGTCTTCTTCGTGGTCGAGAATGAATTCCACATAATTTCCCATTTAGGATCCCATTACGAGCATGGTGGCCCCCACCTCCCATTGGGCCAAGTCAGCATGCTCTATATTGCCTCGATTCACATTGGTGGTGCGATGAAATGGTCCAGTTCTGTCCTCTCATATCCACACATTCTGTAGTCTTAACCAAATGATAATTAATTTTGATCATCAACTCTCTCTCACTCTCCCTCACATCCTCCCAATCAATTTTCAGCACCTTTCTGAACACAAATACTTGGCCCAAAATGTCAACTAGATTTTCAACGCCTTTTTGGGGAGGGATACAGAGGGGGAAGGATAGAAATGGCTACATGCACATGTGGCAAATTGGCTAAAACAAGAATCTACGGATTTGCCTCGATGATTAAAGAGGATGGCTTTAGGTTGGCTTTGCCTTTTTCTTTTCTTTTTTTTTGGTTCTGACAGAAATGGTATCCAGAAGGGGAGGGAGGGGGCTGGAACCAGAATGGATAAGCCCTAATAATGGCTCCACCCATGAGATCTCTCCTTGGCGACCACGTGAGTAAAGTGTGAGGAGAGAGAGGTGCCACTCTTGTTCTTAGTCTTCTGCTTATGTGGCAATATTGATAGTGAGGCGACCACCTCGCTCATGCTCTCACGGCCACGGCCACAACTTGCCCGACCCATCGCCATTGGTGCTCCAATACCGTCCACGGCTTCCAATGTGTTGCCAGCCGTAGACCTGCCTGACGGACAACAGCCGTGGGAAAAGGATCCTGCTTGAACTGGGTCCATTGGAAATTGCACGCAGCCGTGGCTTCCCCTTTTGAGGTCTTTGCCTTTGTCACCTTGCAATAAAGCTCTTGTGGGAATTCGAAGGTGTATGGAATGGACCAATTGGGTTGCCTGATCCGAGCCTTTTAGGAACACTTCGATAATCCTCAGGATAAATATTTCATCCCCACCTCTTGACCTTATACACATGTATATATATATATATACACATGAGCATATAGAATTGCATGATAATTCTACATTTTCAATATCAACAATATCATAGTTTATTATTTTTATTATTATTATGAAATGGAATTGTTAAAATTAAATGAACTCACCCTATCATAACCATCATTAAAAAAATCAATTATTTCCAAAAAACCATCATTAGAATCTCAACTCTTTTTATTCTAGTCCATATTCTCAATGTTCTCCACCTTAATTTCAATCCCCCTCATTCCTTGCCTCCACTCTCTCCACTCCCAGTCTTTATCTTGATCTATCTTGTTCTCAATCTCCACTTCTTTTGTTCCCAACCTTCATTTTGACCTCCCTTGTTCCCAATCTCCACTTCCTTTGTTTCCAATCTTCATCCCAACCCCCTCCAAACTTGCTGCTTCAATAAACATTACAAAAGTGACTTGAGTTACAAATTAAAAGTTGTATTAAGGACAATCATACACTTTTACACAATTGTCAAATACATGCTAATATTATCATATGGAGAGATCCTTATTATTAATAGTCCTAGATGGAGAACTACGGATTGAAAATCAATGAAAGAATCAATTTACATATATGTGTTCTACAATCCTTCACTCCATGTCTTCTTTACTACAAGAACTATCACTAAACTATGGCTACATCACTCTAGAGTGATTGTCTTCATTGACACAAAAACTCTTATCATTGATAGTAATTCAAATATAAGATATGAATTTAAGAATTTGGAATAGAAGACCAAGCTTTGGATTGAAATGTATAGCCTATATTACATCGATAAGTCATAGAACACTATAAGTTCAAAATTGTAGAAGTTGACATTGGCATCACTTTGATTTGCTATTGGATCATATAAAAACAACCTAAGAATAGAATGAGATTTGTAGGCACCTCATTGAAGCTCATAGTCTTATTTCTTCATGACTTTTTGATAGATAAGACTTATAATTGAGAGAGGTATATCAAATTTTTTACAAATCAATGCAATTTTTATATTTTTGATTTGGTATTCTTTGGTGGATTGTTGTTGACTTCAAGAAAGAAAAAAGAGTTGGGATTGAAAATGAAGAAGGTTAAAATTCAAATGATGATTTCTAAAGATGTTCCATTTATATAATGATGGTTATAATATGATAGATTGATTTAGTGAATTTGGAAATAATTTTAATATATATATATATACATACATACATAGATAGATACATACTTACTTACTTACTTACTAATCATTATTGATTGATACAATAGGAAATAAAGAATCACGTGGAAAGATTAATTAAATATTATTAAGATTTCACATCAAGGATTCAAATTTCCAAATTAAACTTATTAATTTGTAAATACAATAGATGCAAATTTTCTATTCTTTAATATATATTTTTATTATTATTATTACATTCCTTAAACTTTCTTGATTAAATTCTAGGTACAATTATTGAAACCTCTTTGCATTGAAAAATCGAATTTATATTCAAAAAAATTAATGTAATATAATACATTTTAGTATCAATTTCATATATAATTTCCTTTTAAAACGTCATGAATACGATGTAAATTTAATGCATTAATTAGCTTTAATATAAAATATTCTTAGTCTTTAAAAATTCAATCAATTCTTTTATGTGATTTTTAATTTTTAAATATTTTTTATGTTTAAAAAACTAATATAATAATAATATATAGATATAGATATGATTTAAAATTTATTTTTTATTTTTAAATTTTTATTTTTTTAATAATTAAGTAATATAGTTTTTATATTAAAATATTATCTAAAAAAATTATATTCACTAATTATTTGTAGTATAGCTACTAATTTATTGCTTATATTTTATAATTACTTTACTAAGTATAGTATATAAAAATTTATATAAGAGATTTATTTTGCAACATGTGCAATATATATAATCATATCACTCTTACTTTGATTATTTTGTATTATTTTTTCTATGAAAATAAAAATAAAAAATCAAAATATAACAATAATTACTTTTGACAATTAATACATGTTATTTACATAGTGATTTTCATGTTATTTTAACAAAAATATGATTTTTTTTTTATTGCTGTTGCATTAGTATGTTATTTACATAGTTATTTTCATGTTATTCTAATAAAAATATGATTTTTTTTTTTTTTTTTTTTATTACTTTTGGATTATTTTGCTAAAGACTAAAATCAAATTAAAAAATTTCTTACTCTTAGATAATGACATAAGTGAATGCAATCAAATCACTTTTACAAAATTACTATTATTATTTTAAAGTAATTTTTTAAGAATTTATTATAACATAATCTATTGCAAGTAGAAATTTGTCTCTTGATTAGTTATATTGTAATAAACACAAAAAAAATTTAAACCTTTTTCTTTCAAAAATTAATATCATAATCAAATACTGATGTTTCTAAATGTATTGGTATTAATTACAAGTATTAACTTTATTATATCATATCTTAATTTGTTTTAAATAAAAATGATGTAAAGAACTATTTTTAAAATATTTAATATAAATACATATATATATATATATATATTCCAAATTGTTTTGATAATTATTCTAAAAATAATTATATTATTAATTTAATATAAATCTAATCATCCAAAAAATCCTATCAAGTAAATTTGATTTTTTTTTCAACCAATTAAAAGCACACATTTTTAAATTTAAAACTCTTTATCTATATTATTTCTTGTCATAATTACTATCATAAAATATTATATTTATTTGATGTAAAGAATTAATAAAGTTTATATGTCTTATTATTAAAAAAAAATTGTTATTTTAAATTTTAATTAAAATAAAATTTAAACATATATGTAGATTTTAGATTTTTTTTTTATCTTCTAAACAAACTAACATATCAAAATTTGACAAAAAAAAAATAAAAAAGAAAAAAAGATGACAATTTATCAAGGACATGAACCTCAAAGAACTAAAATGTCATTACACTCTTATATCACTCGAAAAGACTAAAACTCATTCAAAGATGGTAATATATTGAATTAGAATGGCTATTGCTAAAGACAAAAAGATTACAAAGTCTTGAAATAAGACTAAGAATTAAGAAGGCATTGACAAGAGTGAAGAAGGCTTTACTCTTGCCTCCATATGTACTCTTAATTAAGAGCTACGTGACAATGTTGTCAACAAAATTAATCTACTTTAATTGTGTTTGGTAGTCCAATGGAGTAACTTCACTTATATAAGATTAGATGTCTTTTCTTTCTTAATCATTTTTTACCTATAGTTTTATTTTATCAAATTTTTATGTATTTATTTATTTTATTTATTTATATAATTTTTATTTTTTTATTTTTTTATTTTTTTAATTATTTATTATAAATACTATTTTATTTATTTTTTTATTTAAGCTATTCAGCAATTAGCTTGTTTTTATATGAATTTTATTTTTCAACAAAAAAACATCCATATTAAAACATTGATTACAATACCACAATTTTTTATTATAACAACAAAAATTATATACACAAATTCTTCTAAACTTGTTGTCTAACAACCACTAGAAATCAACTATCATCTCATAACAATATGACAAATCATGGCTA